TGTGTGTGTGTGTGTGTGTGTGTGTGTGTGTGTGTGTGTTGTGTGTGTGTGTGTGTGATGCAGAGGCCATAGTTCACCCCCCTCAGAATAGGTCTGTGCCTTTTATCTTCCTTGCAGAAAAGTGCTCATGCTTGGGAGGTCCCAGAGACCGTCCCTGCCACTGGGAAAGAGTTGCAGAGCCCTCCTTGCCTGAGGACACCTGCCTGTAGCAGCAACTTCACTGGTTCACTGGGGAGAGTCTGCCTTTGTGCCTTTCCTTTCCTGCCCCACAAGCAGCAGGATGAAGACAGTTTGTGTTTTGGGTGCCCTTGAGCTTGGACTCTAAGCAAGCTGAACACATTTCATCCTTCTGTAGGGACTTAATTTACTCAATGATTTTTGCCATTTCAATTACAGTCAGCCCACTTTACCTGCCCCCTCCCCCTTTGTACTTTGAAATTACTCTTTTCATAAGATGCCTTTAGCCCTGGTGGGCAGTGCTGGTGCTGCTTCTGAGCCAGCCTTACCCATGCTCTGCAGGGAGGCCAGGATGGCCAGGAGGCCCCCGGGCCTCCTTTAAAAGCAGCAGCTCCTGCCCCAGTAGTCTTTGCCCTGGAAAACACTTTAAACTTCCAGGCCCACTCCCCATCACTGGAAGGGCCTCTGTGGAGGGACTGTGTGTTGTTAGTTAGGTTTTGATTTCAGACTGGAGTTGATAAATCGAGATAAACCTCAGGCTCACTAAAGCTGTGGAAATTAAACAGAGATGATATCAAAGTTGCCTGGAGTTTTCAGCTGTGCTACAGTAGCCTCACTTTCTCCTTTGATTTTGAAACAATGAGCAGCATCAGTTAAGCCCAGAACTGCTGACTTTAAGGGAGTAAGTGCATGGTGGGTAATCCTTTGATCAGCATCCACCCACCACACTGTGAAAGGGCTTCATAGTTAAAGCTCATGTCTCTGTGAGTCTGGCATGACAGAGTTGCTGAGGTGCCATGCTGTGAGGGACAAAAATCTCCTCCTTGCCAGTCCTCCTTCATAAATGCTTCTAGTATGATGTGGAGGGGGGAAAGACCCCCTCTCTTGGAAGACCAGAGTCACTTCACCTCGTGCTGTGTGCATACACACTCTTGTCTGCAGGAGGGATCTTTCAGGGAGACACAAGAGCAGATGCCTAGAGCAGGGCTCTGTAGCCCTTATCCTGGAAATGATCACATGCCCCCATTCAGGAAAGGCCACTGGGACTGACATTAGGAGAACAGCTCAAGGTCACTATCTCCATGACGAAGAGCAGATAAGACTCTCAAGTGCGTTGAGACCCACTGGGTTTCAGATTGACTCAGCCACCCAATTAGGGGATCTACTCTGGCTTTCCCTGTGGACACCTTCCTGCAGCTGTAGCAGGATGGCACAGGCTTGCCCCTCGGCTCCCTTCCTCCAGGTCAGCCTTCTGCTTGTGTTTGGTAATGGAGCCCCTGTGTGCTGTGGATCCTGCACACTCCAGGCCATAGATCAACCCATTCCCTCCTGTGCCGAGCTCAGATCTCCCTCATTAGACCTGAATTTACCTCTGTCCTACACAAACATGGCCTTAGCTCATTTTTATTGTTGTAAATTATTTATGAGGGCAACGTTGAATCTCAAAACTGAGGTGTGAGGAAAATTAATCCCATGTTACTTTTATCTTTCTGTACTTTCTTCCCCCTAGCTTGACTTATTGAGCTATGGCCAGAGAAAGAAGTACTTTGGCATTTTAAAATATAATTAGTGTTGAAACTGCCTTCCCATTTGGGCAGGATGCTGGTCTCTGTGTGCAGTGAAGCATAGCACAGACTAGATTGAGGAGGGTGCCTCTGCCGTCTGCCAGGGCCTGGGAACAAGCCTCAGTTTCCTCTTATAAAGCTAGCTTGGTGGGCCCTCCTGCTCTGAGACGAGTTTCAGCCGACTTGCAGAGTTCTCTACAACTTATCGGGTGTGTTCACATGGCTGAGGAGCAGTAAGAGAGAACAAATGTTGCTGCAGGAAGGGCCTTTTGTGTTTTACCAGTCACCTCCTGCCTGGCAGGTCAATGGCGGTCTTAAACACATGCTCCCTTGTCTCATTCATGGCCCCTCTTCTTCCTGGCAGAGGCCTGGCCCACGACCCTGGGTGGCAGGATACTGTTCTGTCCCTGCACCTTCCCTTCTGACTGGAGGCTCCAAGCAGCCTGAGGAAACATGGAGTGCAAGTTAATAAATGGCCTTTTGTTAGGAAGGTCAATTGAAGTGATGGTAGAGATGCTGTTAAAAGTAATTTGCAGTTAGAAAATATGTAATTCAGGGCAAGCCACTTTGAGCGATGGCCTCTGCCATGGATATCTTGGGTGTTTTCTCATTAAGAGGCTCCTTGGCTGTTGGCGGCTATGCCCCACCACCAAGTAGGCCACAGCCCCTGGAACAGCCATTTGTCTCCTAGGCACAAAGGCAGCCTTGATCCCCAGGGCACAGCAGCAACTCAGAAACCAGGGGAGAGAGGCGGGGCGAGCATGGAGATGGACTGCTGGCTGGGCAAGACCTGCTGTGGGCTGGGCAGGCTGGGCTCCTGGGCTCTGAGGCCAAGCTCTTTGTCTGCTTCAGTTAGAGGCTGCCTGCAGCCATCTTGCTGCTGCTGGGTGCCTCCCTGGGTGCATTGTGGGAGCAGTGTCTTAACCCTTGCAAGTGCACTCACCTTCCTGCAGTTGGCAGCACGTGTCAAGCAAGAGAACCCTTGTCATCATGGAGTGCATTGCCATACCAGACAATGTATCTCCCAACAAATGAGATATTCCTTGTATGTGCTCACTTAATCTCTCTCTGTGTCTCCCTCCTTCCCTCCTACCCTTTTCCCATCCGTCTTCTCCTTTCTTTTTCTCTTTTCCATTCTCCATCCCTCATTCTCTTTGATAGTAAAGGCAGTAGTATTTAGATTTTTTTTTGTTTCACATGTTCTTTATTAAATTCACAGCATGATATTTAACACTGGCAGGATTTGTACATTTTGCTAATGAGTTGTTAATTGCAAAGCATTTTTTTGGTAACCGACAGCAGGTACCAATATTTTGCAAACTGCAGCCGTGTGGTTTTTATGTTCCCCATAATACAGGATTTTTCAGGGGCAGAGGCATTTTGTTTAGTGATTTGCTCTGGATTGGGCAGGTGCAGGTATTTAACCCTAAACCCATATTGGGGTCACGCATGTGGAGTCAGTCACTTGGTAAATATTTGCTTAAAACCTCCTGGATGTGAGGGCACAAGCCCTGTGCTGTTACAGATAAAACCTGCTAGAAAATGAAAATGGAACCAAGGAAAGGGTATAGTGGTATGCCAGGCTGTTGGAAGCTTATTTTCAGTATAAGCAAATAAAATATAGCTGTAACTCGGCTAAGAGGGCAGGGATGCCAGGCACTGCCAAGCCCTATCTAGAAACAAGTCTGTTTCTGGGGTGCTTTGTGGGCTTTGCTGACTAAATGGGTGACCTGTGTGTAGCATTTTGGTGGTTCCTGTGCAGTAGGCTACAGCACTGTGAGTGGCCAGTGCTTTTTTTGATAGGCTGAGGAGCAGGAACTTGCTTCCTGCTATCTCTTTAGGCAGGATGTTTGTTTGGTTGCTTTTGAAACTGAAGCCACCTTTGAAAGCACTGCAGAGGGTCAGCTGTGATTGCTTCAGAGTGAGGTGGAATTTATCGTTGTAAAAGTACAGTACTCTGTATCAGGTGTTGCTGTTTGCATTTGGTTTCTGGGGCAGCGGCTGGCCCACTGCTCTCCATACTTCACCAGCCTCAGCTTCTGGCTTCTGGTCCCGTGCAGAAGCAGCAAACCACAGAGCAGTGACTCCACCTCCCTTCTTTTCATCCAAGTGGTCAGTGAGAATGAGGGTCACTGTTAGTGCTTAGCTTTGAGTAAGCACCCTTTGACCCAGGGACAGTTAAACTACACAAAGAAGTGGGCCGGCCCCTAGTGCATGGTGCCTCCCAGTTGTGGCCCAAGCCAGAATCCATGTAGTCTTTTGTTGTTGTTGTTTGCTTATTTGTTTGTTTTTGAGACAGAGTTTCTCTGTGGCTTTGGAGCCTGTCCTGGAAATTGCTCTGTAGACCAGGCTGGCATCAAACTCACAGAGATCCACCTGCCTCTGCCTCCTGAGTGCTGGGATTAAAGGCGTGCACCTCCAACGCCCAGCCAGAATCCGTATACTCTTAAACCCTCCAGTCCGCCTGCTTTTTTCTGGGTGCCTTCTGTGTGTCATAAACCTCTCTGGACCCTTTCTTAGCTTTTGCTACGAAGTGGATCAAGACCTCGTTTTACAATTAGGAGAAAGCTGGGGCTCCCCAAGGTTTAATTTCTTGTTCAGACCCTAACTTGTAAGTGTGAAGTCCAGAACCCCTCACACCTGTGCCCATGCCCCAAATGCTGTCTCTGGTTTTGGAGTTAATTGAGTTTTCTGCTGAATGGATAGGCTGTAGGTTTGGAAGCCTAGTCCATATGGGAACACTGTATGAGGGACAGAGGTTTCTCTGAGACTTTGCTAGGGGTAGCTCATTTAGTAGTGGTCCTCGTTCAGAAATCAGGCAGTTGGAAGTAGAGTTAAGAATAATGTGGGGCTGGGCAGGTAGCTCAGTGGATGGCATGCTTGTTTGGCCTACATAAATCCATCTCTAGTGCTATATAAAACTAGATGTACACACCTGTAATATGATGTACACACCCAGGCGGTGGAGGCAGGAGGACAGAAGTCCAAGACCAGCCTGGAATATACAGAAATGTGCTTTTGGGTTTGAGTGGAAATTACCTCCTGGGAGCAGATAGGAGCCCTCGGCATTCCATGCTAACAGCTTGAGGTGTGGTGGGTGAATTCTTGATCTGAGTTCAGGGTCAGATAAGGCAAGGTAAGGAATGTAGAGCTCCGCAGAGGATAGCGTTCCCAGGATTAGCTGTCTGGGAGACCTCCTTCATTCACATTGAACACTGAGTTTAAATTTTGTGCTCTCCATTTCCTTTACCAAACCAGGACCAAGCAACCATGCCTGAAGTCAAAGAACTCTCAGAAGCCTTGCCAGAGACACCAATGGACCCCATCACGGGAGTCGGAGTAGTGGCTTCCCGGAACCGCGCCCCGACGGGCTATGATGTGGTAAGACATAGTGCCAGCTTGTCTCTTGTCTCTCAAGAGAGGAAAGTCACAGCCAGAGGGGTCCAGGAGTCAGAGGGCCTGCTAAGGTCATGGTGTATGGGGTAATTTCCTGGCTTTTGTTAATTTTTACCTTTTAATTAGAACCATTGATTTCCAAAGTTACCTCTAGTTTTGATGTTTCATAAAAAGGATTTAGGAAAGACCCAGGGGCTTGTCTTGTATTGTCCCAGGGGTGTAAATGTTCTGAGTGTGCTGTCCTTGCAAGTAGCTGGAACCTGTGCAGTGATTAGCTTAGTGTACGATTGAGAGCCCTGAGTCTCCCCAGTGTAGGGCCAATAAATCAGGTAACTCTTTGTCATGGGCTGCCTGTGCCTCATAGTCTGTGTGCAGCATCCGTGACCTCTACTTAGTTGAAATAAAGAACACCCTAGATGTTCTAGATGTTCCCCAGGAGAGGGTAGGTGAACAAAATCCTGACTGACAACCTCTCTAGTTAGTCTGCATCAGATCCTTGCTGCAGAAAGAGAAACCCATTAAAAACAACACCAACACTACCACCACCACCAACAACAACAACGATACCACCACCACTAACATCACCACCAACAACAACAACAATAACACTACCTACAACAACAATAACACCACCACCATGACCAACAAAAACAGCAACAGCAAACCCAAGAAAAATGAAAACTTCCCTTCCCTAGTGTTGAGAAACTTGGAAGAGAGCTTTTTTGACAAAGACTTGCATCTGGCTGGCCCCCTGTCTTCAAAGCCCATTTGGAATGTCTAACCTTCTATAAAATAGAATCATTAGGCATGGCTTTGTGCCAGGAAACTCTTGGGGAAGCTGATAAAAAGGCTCCTGATTTGAGAAGCCAAAGTGTGTTGATGAATTGGGTCTGAGATGGCATTGGCTGGGGCTGGGAGCTCCTGGTCTGCTTGTGGACCACCCAGGGTCCCCCTGCACGATTTGCAGGAGGCTCAAGCTCCAGGCTTGGGTCTTACATCTTCCTGCTCTTCTCTGTCCATCAGTATCTGTAGCGTTTAGTCTGTACCTTTGGGGTCACTCAGACTGTTTGGCTGGTGGGCGGTAGATGGCCTTTGATAGTTTGGCTTTCTGAAACTCTCAGGAAGCCTGACAGGAGCACAATCTATCCCTATCATTTTCTTCTAACATTTAGCTTAGGGCAGGAGAGTGTGGTGTCAAATGAGTGAAATTAATAAGCACATTTCACCATCATGCTGCACCATGCATTTTAGTGGAAGGTGAGCAGGGCAAGAGGCTCAAGCTAGCTTGCCTGTAATTACCGAGCCTGCACGTTTCCCTAGGCTCCTTTAAGAGCTCTTTCTGGGAGAGGGTATTCGCTCTCTCTTCTCTGGCCTCTAACCTCTTTTGAGCTAAGCATATCATTCCCAAGGGCCTGAGTTCAAGGGGAAAGGTGTGGAGGGCAGGGTGGGAAGAGACACTTCCCACTTCCCTTTCTTTCATCTGGAGCTCCCTATTAAGTCAACCCAAGGGCAGGAATGTTTTGGGAAGGCTCCAAGAACTGACCAGAGGATGAGGAAGCCTGTGGCAGCTGGAAGCTAGACCATTCTCCGTGTAGAGTCTGTTTAGGATTAACCCCTTACCTCCCTCTCTGCCTCCCTCCCTCACATAGTGAGGTACTCTGACTAGCTTCCTGCCATTAGTCACTGGATGTGTTGAGCCTCCGACTGCCATAGAAAGGCTGTCTAGGCACTGCTTGCTGCTCTGCCCTGTCCTCAGTCACATGCCCAGGTCTTGGAGTGACAGGCTGATGGAATCTTCTCTCAGAGATTGGGGTGGGTCTCAGAAAAGTGTGGGAAAGGCTTAGAAGCAAGACTGGGGGGCAGGAAGTGGGAGGGAAGTGGAGTGAGAGGGCTGTTTGGATGCCTCTGAGGGGCAGAGTGGGCATAGGGTGGGGGGTGGGGTGGGGGTAGCTGGACCCGATATCTATCAGGAGCAACTCTTTCCCCTGGCATAAATGCAGGCAGGCATCAAGCTGGCCTGGGCACACATGGGAAGGATTCCAGGGTGAAAGTTGGCACAAGTGAGCAGGGCCTGTCTGGTGAAGCCCAACACCATCAGAGAATGGTGTGTGTGGGGTGTCCCATTGTTTGGTGCTCACTCCTTCCTGCTACTGAGTACTTGGGGGTGGCCTCTGACATCTGTGCAGCCTCCATGGGGCAGCATGTGAGTTGCCAGCCTCCTTCACCCCGCCCTTGTCTCCCTTCCTTTCCATAGTGTTAAAACTAATTAGGCAACAAAACATTTTCTTCAAAACTGCTGGTCCTGTATAATTTATAGATGCCCAACATATCCCAGGTGTCTTCAGAGTCACTGATGTTTGAAGCATCAGATGCAGGATGCTGTGGGTATGCTGTGACAAGTCAACTTTTCTCGGGGCTGTGGGTTGGGTTCAGGGATCCAAAGGACACACAAGTTTAAAATTGGAAACCTGCAAATGAGGGGCCAGTAGTCACTCACCAAGGCAGGAAAATTAAAAAACAAAACAAAACCATCTGTTCAGTGCCGAAGCAGGGTCAAGAAAGCTTGTGTGTTTCTATAATGCTTAAGGAATCAAAACCCTCGGGAGGAGGGTAGCAAGCTCTTTTCTGAAGCATGTGGTAGTTATCAAATGGAACATGTGAGCCACAATCAGCCCTCTGGACTGACTGGAACTGTCACTCGGATCTCCAAAAAGGCCAGGTTGTGTTAGGAGGCCCCTGTCCCTCATAGCCAGAGGACAGGAGACCTCTGATCCACAGGTGCCCTACTTCCTGTGCCACACCTGCAGCAGGTGAGTGATGAGGGGCTTCTTGCCCCTGTGGGCCCTGTCACCTTGTGGCCCTGCTGGCAAGGGACTGTGCCTGACCAAGGAAATGGGGGCTTGGAAGTCCCCATCCCCCCACCCCACCCCCACCCCACCCCCACCCCTGATCCCTCCTCACAGGCTGGTCTCTTTTCAGAGCCGAGCTGGTTTTGATAAAGGTACCACTCTGTTGTTTTGATAGAAAATACTTTAAACCAAGATTTACTGAAAACATGGAAGGTGGCCTTATGACCAGCCCTTGGCCCTGGTTTCCTGTGGCTTGAATCTGGGAAACGTCTGTGAAGTGTTTGGGGACAAACCTGCTCTTGAGAGGAGGACACACTTGGCACTTGGTGTATTGAGTGTAGTTACTGACATTGTGCAAGAGGCCATCAAGGCTGTCTCAGGAAGTCTGTCAGAAACAGCCGCTTCCTGTGGCTGCTTGGGAGGAGCTATGTTCTCTTTTGGTCTCTCCTGCTCCCAGCCATGCACTTCCAGGGTTCACCAAAGGCTGGCTCAGACAATGACTGTTCTGATGCCCCCTTCTGCTCACAGAAATGTCTGGCTCACTTTTGCTAAGATTTATTTAAAAAAAAAAAAAAAAAAAGGCCTCATTTGGATTGATAGAGAAGTTAATTTTTCTTTTTTAAACTTGAAATTTAAGTTGTGAGGTAATTAAGGATTTGTATGCACTTTAAAACTAATGCAATCACTCTCAGCCTTTTGTCTAAGATCAAGTGAAGAGGGTGCCTTTGCCCCTGAGGTGTGTTTGGAAACTCTAACACAGCTTCAGGACCGGGACCCTGAGTTTAGTCACATGGTGTGTGATCTGTGGATCAGGAGTGGATTGCTCTTGTAAAGATGGTTCCCAAGAGGAACAGGCATGTCCTACTGCTGGACAAGGCCAGGTGGGGACATGCCAGGGTGGAGAGGGGCCTGGAGAGCAAAGGCGGCGTGGGTAAGGGCTTTCAGTTCAGCTTCTGTGGGCAAGGCAGAGGCAGAGGCAGGAAAGCAGACCTCAGCCCATCCTGTGTAAATGGTTCTGGCCTCTGTGCCACCGGTGTAGTGTCTGGCTGGCAGTTATCTGATATCTTAGGTGGCAGGAGCCTGATTCCTGAGATATGTGTTCTGAAGTGCACTGGTTCATTTTTGGTTGATTTGACACAAGCGCCTGTGGTTTGGGAGGAGGGAATCTCAATTGAGGAATTACCCTCAACAGATCAGCTTGTGGACAAGTCTGTTGGGGCATTGTCTTGATTAATAATTGTTGTGGGTGGGCCCAGCCCACTGTGGGCAGAGTCACTCCCCAGCATGTGGTCCAAGGTTTTATAAGATAGCAGGTTGAACATGCCAGTAAGCAACTCCCCCCCCCACACACACCCCTTGGGTTCTGCTCCAGGTTCCTGAGCTCTGTCTTAACTTTTCTCAGTGATGGACTATAATTTGTAAGCCAAAATAAACTTTTTCCTCCCCAGTTGCTTTTGGTCATGGTGTTTGTCACAATAGAAGCCTGACTAGAAATGGATAATGTTGATTTCACTGTGCCATCTTTGGAGATTGGCTTTTATTTATCCAAGCTTCAGCCTCATTCTGTGGTGATTCTTCTGAGAGCAGCCTCATACGCCAATAGTTTCTTTTGAATGATAAGTAACCCAGGACATGGATGCACCATGCTTGTTTATTCACCCACTGAAGGATATGGCCGTCTGCTAAGTTTGGTGCTATCACAAGTGTAGTGCTCATGTGCAGGCTCTTATGTGAGCATCACTTTTATACCTATGGTATGAGAGCATTTGCTCAGTGTGCAGTAGTTGTGTGTTTAGGAGAATACTAAATTACTCGCCAGTGTGGTTTATGGTGTGTGAGCCATGCAGTTCCCCTGTGTCTTTTCCTGACCTTGTTGTAGGTATTGTCGCTGTGCAGCCACTCTGACAGGTGTGCAGCAGTCACTTTCTGGGTGCCAATGTTTCCTAGTGACCTGTGCTGTGCCAAGCTCTTCACAGGCTAATTCCCCATCTGTGGGTCTCCATGCAGGTCTCGTTAAGTTGTTTCTTAATTGGATCATTTAATATTTTACTATTGACTTTCCAGAGTTTTTTGGCTTAGTTAATTTTTATATAAGAACTTGGATTGAATGTCTCCCTTTCCCCTTTGGAAGGCCAA